AAGGCAACAAAAATTAAATTCATAATTATCGACCGATTTCTCTTTTGTCGTTTTTTTTTCTCAAAAATATTACACTTTTTTACGTAAGAATGGAAACATTTCTTAGTAAACCCGGGCGTTTTCACATTGCCAAAATCAAAATCTACGGAAAGAGCCTTTTTTTTTCTTAAAGATGTCACCTCATCCTTGGATCAAAGAAGCACCTATTGGAATATTTTTAGATCTTTCAAAAGCCTTTGACGTCATTGATCTCATTTTACTCTCAAAATTATTTTCTTATGGAATTCGTGGTGTTGCTCTAGATTGGTTATGTTAGTACCTTAAACGATCTCAAGAGAGTAGAAATACCTTACTGGAATAATGGAACATTATGTACACACCTTTCTCATTCTTTGCCAACTGCATGTGGAGTCGCGCAGGGATCGATTTTAGGCCCTATTCTCTTTCTACTATACGTAAACGATATGTCCTCACCGATTAGAAACAGAACAGTCCTCTTTGCAGATGATACGAATATTCTTTGCAATAAAGAACCGTAAATAGGATAATAGCAGATACTTCAAATTGGTTCCATAATAACAAATTAATAGTAAATGTAAATAAAACTGTTTCAATGCAATTTTCCATTTCAAATAAACAGTTCTGTACTTCACTGAATATGAATGGTGAACCACTGACTGATGTTAAGGTAACAAAATTCTTTAAGTCTTTCAATGCAGTCAAACCTTAAATGGAACGTCCATTTAAATGAATTGAACACTAAAATAAGTTATCTATGTTACGCTTTCGGAATTCTTTCAAATTTAGTCAGCCTCCACAATGCTCGTTGTGTATAGTTCGCGAATGTTCATTCCCGCCTGAGATATGACATAATATTCTGGAGAAATACATCTTATAGCTCCCAGACTTTTAGATTACAGAAACGAATTGCACAAATAATAAGCAAATACCAGCCACGTGATTCTTGTAAGCCTCTCTTTATTTATCTAGGTATTTTACCATTACTCTTCACATATGAATCAGTGGTTTTTGACAAAAACGACTTACTTAAGGGCGGGAATATATTTTCAGCAAACGCCGTTGTCTATAACTACAACACTCGACGTAGTAATCATCTTCATTAGTTGACAGTATCAACAGCTCACTACAAAAAAAAAATCACATAATTTACAACACCTTGCCAGATGACATTAAACAATTAAATTTGATAAAGTTCCAAGTAAAATCTTTTCTGCTGCTCAACTGTTTCTATACAATTAAGAAACTATACCGAGCATCCAAAAGGAAAGTTATATTATTTTTAACAATGACATTTAATGTATTATGTACTATTTGGATTGTATAATTGTAAAGAGCCTGTAACAAGTATTGTACTTCAGTTTCTGGGTCTATGACCCCCATCGTGATCAGGTTTTCGTCCAGTTTCCTTGATCCTCGAGCAAATGTTGAGATGGCCCCTTGTTTTGCTTCTGGGCATAAATGTAACTTCAAATTAACTTCTCTCCATAGCACATCACACAACGTTTTTAACTGTTTCTGATGTAAATAAATAAATTTCCATGGTTCTTTAAAAGAATACTAATAACATTCCATTTTTACTACTAGTCATCTTTAAGTACTTTAATTGGCTGCAGCAAACATAATATAAATCTAGAATTATGGACACCACTGAAGCTTTAAATGTGTTTTTCTTGAAACTAGCTCAGTGTGCCAGGGCGGTATTGCTGCTAAATTAGGTTTTTCTAGACAATTAAATAGTGAATAAAAACTAATCGATCATTGAAGTCTATAAGTATAGAAATCTTCTACAAACTTATTATTGTTCTTTGTTTCATACTTTTGCTCATGTTATTGTATATTATATTTTATTTTATTTACTCAAAATTTTTCAATCATGTGAAAAAGTTTATAAGAAATATAATGCATTCTTAATATTAACTTCTTAATTGATTTACGTCTTTTGATCTGAGTAATTTGGATTTTACAAATATTTAAAATACAAATGTATTTATATTAAAAATAATAAATATAGATTTCAATCATACCAGCATTACATATTTTGATAACATATGTGAATTAGGGGCTGTTCATACATTTTGAAATGCAAATGTGGAGTGTTTTGAACACCCCCTCTACTCCCTGTGATGTGTGCTTGAACCCCCCTAAATAATTACATTACCTTGCAGCAAGACCACCCTCCCCACAAAATACAATGAAAATAAATTAGAAAGATTAATTTTATTTGTGCTGTATATTAAAATAATAATAAGAGTCAAAATTGGTGATAAGGACTGCACCTAACAATAAGATTGAAAATAATGGTTGAACAGATGAAGGATGTGTAGGCATGAAAATTGACAACAATCCATGCACTTGCGGATGATGGATGCATGGCTCTGAGTCTACCACACTAATTTAATTGAATTCTATATAATATAGTACTGATCCCTTTTGAGTGTTTTCTTTGCGATCTAACAGATACAATCAATATACTATAGATAAACAAATATTTCCACTTATATCCATTTATACATCATTACTTTTTAATTTATTTTTTTCATTTAATTTGTTTATGTTCTAGTATAAGACTTAATAAAAGGAATAATTTAAAAAAATGTTGAAAAAATTTTAAAAACTTCAAAATTATGTAACACGTAACTACAACCCACCCTAGCCCTACGTAACACAGTATTACGTTGCCTTAAGCCCCTCTCCCGCTTAGTTACATAATCTACACCCCCTTATGGAACATTTGTAACTGAAGAATTGGCCACACCCAACCACGAAACATGAATAAAGGATTAAAATTTTTCTTTGTTATCCTTCTAATAAAGTATTTCACAGATTGTCAATAATTCCACCTGAAATCTCATTACTTTCATTAATTTTTACAGTAATATCCAATTTCTAGTTCTCAATAAAACGAATAAAGCCACTGAAATGAAAATATGACATGTGCATTAGAAATGCCTTTATCAAACTTTGCATTATTTTAACAATATACATTTTTACAAAACACTTTAATACAATTGACATTATCACAAATTAAAAGATATTATTACCATTTTTCAATTCATTCCCGTGTAGAACCATGAGGAATTCCAAAAACATCATGCTGATGTTCTCCTAAGATTGGTAATTTTTTCATATTTCTGCATAGTTGTATCAACATATACATAGCTTTAAGTGATGTAAATTATCTTGTCATATAGTTTACATAATTGTATATCAGCAACTTCCCAAAATCTACACTGCTGGCTTATGTCACCAAAAGAAATTATAGACATTTATCATGACCTTGACAACGAAAATATTTGGATAATGATGAATGATGTGCAGGTACAATTCATAGATAACATTACTGCAAGTTACTATGTTTCAAGGCTGGAATTATTTCTTGCATTATTAATTCTACATCATCCTTACTATATTTTGGTTCTTCACATGAACTCCATAACGACAAAGCAGAAGGTCCTTTCAAATCTGGAAAAGCATGCACCGAGAGATCATTAAATATATCGTTGTACCTAAAGGAGTTAACCACAGACATTTCTTTAACAAAGGGAAATATAAGTTGCACATAGGCAGCATTTTGAGTCAAATGCTTATGTGTATTTGTTTCAATTATTGTTGAGAAACTATTACCAATTATCACACAGTTTTCTAAGTTAATATTCCAATTTGACCACAGAAAGTTATTAATCAGCTGTTTCGGGCAATGTGGAAAATATGCCAGTGTTTTTGTTCCAATTTTAATAGTTCGTTTACCTTCCTCATTTTGTTTAATTACCTTACAACCCAACTGCTCTAATAAATCACATTCCACTCCATTGAATAATGGATCATGTATGAAAACATGGGTGTGTAATCCGTGTTTTAATAACAGCAGCAAGGCCAATTGGTATCGCGATGTCACGTTTTCAGAAAAATTGCCCAAACCATAGCAAATAATTTGCTCCACAGAAGCATCGCTCTTCGAGTTCAAAGTCTGCAGAAGTAGCTCGAATAATGAACTGAAGAAATCTGATATTTGTATTTCTTGTTTCGCAGATTCAAGTTTTCCTAAAACACTCTCCTTCGTGGCAACGCAACACGTATTAGACGATATGGTCCCACGAAGCTGCGAAGTCTTGCGTTTGTTATTCTTCCTCCTCGACTTCACAAATATAAATTCATCATCAGGCATCATTCACATAACAGTACTTACAATACATAGTAGAGTTACGATTCAATTAAATTACAGTTGCTATATTTATAAAACATTGAGTGTATAACAGTATGCTATACGCATGACCTAACCTACAAA